TTCTGATGGTTTGGTTTATTAGCAGCCCACCTCTCCTGCTAAGGTTTGCTGGTTGTTTCTCCTCTCTGTTTCTCCTTTCGCCACCTCATATGTTTTCCAGGTTTTAGGCAGTGTGTGCATCAGCCACTGGCTCTAGCAGTGGCTCAGTTTTACCATGAGTGTATGAAAGCAAACGAGGAGTTGTTCTCTTATTCACAGTCTGAAGACTTGGGGATGCCTCGTATGTCAGCACTTACCAAATAGCAGAAGACGTTGAATTGCTAATTGTACCTTTGAGAAAGAGATACCAGAAACTGTCAGAGTGGGACTGAAGGACACAAAGGTATTTGTAATTCTTAGAGAAAGTTACAGTAGGCATCACCAGGCTGGGGTTTGGATCTGATCCAGCAGGCAGGAAAAGCCAGAAGGGGGGTGTTAATATATGCGTGTTTGTAAATGCATATGTGGCTTTGAACCAGCCCCTGGGTTTGTCGTGTTAGGTGTGGAGCAAACACGTCTGACTCCTTATGTTTTGCTTGGACACCTGGCTGGGAATAGATGTTGCCCCTGAGCATGAAGGAATGGCCAGCTTCAGCCACAGAGGATGGTGGAGTGGGAATTCGGCTGTAGGGTGTTGCATTTAGCGAAACGTTGTTGTGTCTTACTTTTCCCCTCTTTTTTTGTGAACTTCCTTGCGTTTCTGATGCTTATTCCCTCTGGAGCTGATCCACCTCTGCAGTGAGACTGCAGAATAGCTGCTTTGTGCTTTCCCGTGGGCACGGAGGTGCAGGAGGATGGGCAATGGGAGCTGGCGCAGCAGCTTCACCGCACTGTCACTCGGGGGCCTCGTGGAAGGATTTTCCTTACAGGGCCTCTGCAAATATGTTGGAGATGGGCCCTGAGCTTTTGGCTGGGGCTGAGCTTTTCCACAGCAGACTGTAGTAACACTAGTCATTGATCCAGAGACGTGCAGCCTGGGATTTTTGGGGGTACAGAAACTCTCCCTTCTCGTACACTGAGTGAGAGGTGTTTTGCTTTTTGTTCCAATAAAGCAGCTGTATGTTACTGAAAACGGGGGTTGAAATAGTATCCAGTTTTTCCTCTCTTCCCAGGCTGTGAGCTGCTCCCTTAGCTGCAGTGTGCCAGGCAGGGTTCTCACTGTGAAATGATGGAGTCTCTTCAGCAGGAGTCTGGACTAGAGAGAGTCCTTCTGACCTGACTTTTGTGTGATCCTGACACTGGGGATGGTACTTGTAGCTCTAGTCTGTCTGTAGGGTGTTAGCTAGCTAGAAGGGTTACAGTGAAAATACAGCTGAGGCTGTAATCAAACCTTTATTTGCTGTGTAAATGCATCCAAAGCCAGAAGCTCATTGTTGGTTTTTACTTCATGGTTTCTCTGATATAGTGGTTAGAGTTCTCACTTCCTTGTGGATGAGAAGGAAAATGGGGGTTTTATTAATCCCTTTGGCTAATACATCCTCAAATTCCACCTCCTTCAGATGTGTGAGTTTGCCTCCTGCTCCAGGAGAGCACCCTCCTGTACTGCCCTTACCCTGCCCTGTCTTCACTGCTCTTTTTGTTTGCCTTTTATTTTATTCCAGATGTGTTTCTGTCCCTTTCTCTCCTCCCTGTGACCTTTATTTTCCCTTTTCCTTACTAATCCTGTGGCATTCTCCTGCCCCAGAACATCTTAGCCAGTGCAGCTGCTGTGAGTGAAATACCAGCACGTGGCTTTGGTCACAGGGATTGCCCCGGGTGAAGGGCTTGCCAACAGATTCCCACTGGGAGTCAAAAGGTAGTACCAGCTCAGCAGTGAACAACTTCCAGAATGTGCAGCTCTGTTTTTCTGAAGTATTAAGTTGGTAGGTTTTGCCCAGGTCTTTGAAATGAACCGATTTTGAAGGAGATTTTTGGCCAAACTGTTTATGATGCATAGCAATGAAACCTTTTGGGACCGTTTAAGTTGTGCAGTTCCTGGGTCTGGGCCACTCTAAAGCTTTGGTTTATTAGAACTGTAAAAGAACCTGAGAGTTTGCATTGTACGTGTGATTTTCCAGTTCTAGTGCTCAGGACAATAAAAGTACTTTTGGAAAATGTTCATGTTTTCTCTAGTCTCTGCATTTGCTAACAACTTTCCTGTCTAGCTACTTGTCCTTAAAATTATTTTCTCCACTGGACTGTGCAAAACTGTCTTGGAAATAATTTTTTTTGAGGTCTCTAAGAAAACGAGGAAGATCCATTTTTTAACAGAAATCTGAAACTTTGCCAACCACAATGCTATTAAATACCACTTTTCAACTTCCATATTCTTAGAAAAGTCTCTCCAAGCTGTGAAATAAATGCCCATTTGTAACTCTCTAAAATACACTGTTTTGTTTAACCTGCAGCTTGTACATCTGTCCTGGCCACTGTGACAGAACATCTCAGTGCCTGCTGCAGTGTGCTCCAGCTTCCTTTAGTGCCACAGATTGTACCGGTTTCTGTGGAAATTCAGGTTGGACTACATAGCTTGTGTTTTTCAGCCAGAACATCAGTGAATATGAATCTCTAACAGACCTCTGTGTATTGCTGGGAAAAAAACATTCCCTCTCTATCCATTTTTATATGACTGGAAGGCACTGTAGGTTCACTTGAACTACATCACTCAGAGTTTCTCGGCTGATGTAAAAGTGCAAATGTACATCCTGCAATTCATTCCTTCTTACTCAGCAGAATGATTCTATTAAGCTAATTATGATAGACAAGAAAGTTTCTAATAGGAGCTGTAAATTTCCTGGGTCCTTTGAGTTGGTTTTATTGTTTAATTTAATAACTTATCAATGACTTAGCCCCACTCCTGGGGAAGTTTGCTCAGCGGGTGAGCTCTGTGTTCTCACAACACCAGCAGGCATCAAGCAGAGCCTCGTGCTTGGTGTTCCTTGTGGATTGCAGGGCATGAATGGGAACAGGGAAATAACTCACTGCCATGCTGGAGGGGCCAGAATATCTGGGAAAATGGGCCTTTTTAGCCCTTGGTTAATGAGCTCTTTCACAGCAACCTGCTATTTTTTTCGGGCTACAAATGTCTTAATTATTTGACTTTCATGGATGGTATCTTGAGGTTCAGTTACGCTGAAAACAAGTATTGGGAGTAGATGTGAAATACTGGAGTCTGCACTGTTGCTGCTGGTGACCAAAGGCTGTAAAAGATGCAGATCATCAATGTCAAGTGATACATTTCTCTTACAACCAATTTATTTGCAGTGAGCTAAACCTAAAATTGTCGCTTCTGCTTATGATCATGTGGTCAAAATGGGTTTGATCAGTAAGGCTGTGTTGTATCTTGGCATCTCCACTTCAGTGTAACCATGTGGCAAATAGTTACTGCATTAATAAAGCTGTAAAATAACACTGAAACCTGAAAAACTCACACTACTGTTCTGGTCTGTTTGTTCACGTGTTTTTGGAGTTGGAGAGGAAAACCCAGTGAAGCCGATTTTCCTTTTGGAGCTTTCAGTATTGCAGCTCTTTTCAAACTCTGCAGGAATACCTTGGATTTGTTTTGGTTTTTTTTTTTTTTTTCCTTTCACAAGCTATACAAATTTTTACAGGACTTAGAAACCTTTACCAGAGGTTTATTTTTACAAAATTTGAACTTCTGGCCTGGTGTGATGCTGTAGGATTTCATGTGTGTTTTTGTCCAGAGAAAGTCACAAAGCATAATAAGTCAGTACTGTAGTAATTAATATTAATTTTCAGCTTTTCCACAGCTGTTTCTTGTTAAGTGTGTGGTGAAAGCTGTGTGCTTGGCACATCTCAAAAGTCCATTTCCCACAGTCCCTGCCCAGAGCACTTTTCCACGTTCTTGCTTCCCCAGAGGCTAAGGAGTTACACCAAAGTGTTTGGAGCTGTTCACAAGTCTGATTTTGGCCTCATAACTTAGGAGCACTATATTTTGGATACTTGATTCTGAGATGAAATTGTGCCTGACTTTTAACTTTTACCCTAAAAAAGGGTTTGCAATTATCCCAACAGTTTTATGTACCTTGTATTCCTGATGCTGGAGTTTCGGTTGGTTTCTGCAGTGCTGTCTTTTTTTCCCTTCAACAAAAAGCCAAAAAAGCAACAACCTCTCTCTGAATCCGAAGAGATGCTGCTTCTCCAAAATTTACAGTCACTTAGGCATTTATTCTGATGGCTGAAAAGCTCAAGGTATTTAAAACTGCATCTCCAAATGGAATAAAGTACCTGCTGAACCAATGCAGGTGGGTGAAGGAAGCTCCTGTCTGAGATGTTGTGTACAACAGGCAAAGGCAGGCAAAAGGGAAGTTTTCTTGTGTTCATCCAGACTACTGGCTTTGATTTATGGCTACAGAAATCAGTTAAGGCTTTGTGTTAATAGGTAGTAGCTAAAAGCTGTGTGACAGGACCTTACAGGTTTTCATTTCTATGAAACCTTTAATTTCTTTTAATTAATGCAAAACATGTTCTTGCTTTGTATACCACCGTTTTCTTGTGCTTTTGGTGCCTTCATCTACTGCTGCAGTTCTGTTTGTTTGTTCCACCCACTTGTTGGATGGATGAGGTAAACTAATGGATATTTGCTGTTGGGAACTGCCAGAACCCTCAGGGAGTGATAGGGACCTGGACAGTCTCAGTTAGGCTCGCTGAGAGTCTGCCTGTACAGGGCTGTGTGCGTGCAGTGTCCGATGCTGTTCTGCAAACCTCTGGAAAAATTGCCATGAAAAACTTCCATTTTTTGGGAGTATCTGACTGTGCTCTAAGTGGCCTTTCAAGGAATATCATGGGTTTTAAGCTGCATTTTGCTTTATGCAAAATGACGATGGAATAACTCAATCTTGCTATTGCAAATTCGAAAGTAGCTACTTTCTTTGTATAAATGGGGTCAGAAAGCCAAAGGTGGAAAATTTACTATTTTCATTGCAAGCTGAAGCTTTCTGTGGTGGAGGTTTTGAAGCACTGACTGCTGCGATCCCACGATGGCTGTGAAACCTTTTGTCTTTTTTTTTTTTTGTTCGCAGTCAAGCTGCAGCTTCAGGCGGAGGAGCGAGGAGTGGTGTCCATCAAAGGTGTCAGTGCCAATCGCTTCCTGGCCATGAAGGAGGATGGCAGATTGCTGGCCTTGGTAAGCAGCACTCGCCTGATGTCTCTGTGTTGCTGTGTCCTGCCCTTGCTCTGTGCGGGGTAGTCTTTCTTCCTGCAGGACTTACTCAGCTGCTCGGTGTGGGATTTATCAGGATAAATGAGCTCTGCACAGCTTCTGCCAGTTACTTGAAATAGGGATTAGGAGGAGTTGGGTATTTCTGCCCTACCTAGGAGCTGCAAAATTTAACAGGAATGGCTTCTCTGAGAGGGAAAAAAATCACAGTGATCAGGAAATTACAAAAACAAATGAAGAGTAAAGTGTCTGCCTTTTTACTCTCAGGAGTAATTTTTTCCTCTTTTACTTGCACATAAAATGATTTTAAAAGACCTCTTTGAAGGGGAAAGTAAAGCTGATTTCTTTTAGAAAATTACTTTCATGGCACTAATCTGTATAAATTTTTTTTCTCATTTTCCTCTTTGTAGAGACTAAAGTTTTTTTGGGCACTTGTACTTCCTAACTAGAAAACTGGCAAGAAAAGTATTTTTGCAAATGTGATGATAAAATTTTAAAAGTTATATAAATATGGGTAAAATTAAGCTGCTCTCTAGTGAGACTAGTTTTAGTTTAAACTCTTATGTGTTTTACTGGTATCAGCTGAATTTTTAACTGTGTTTTAAAGCCAGTGTGTGCAGCAGACTCGGAGAGTTAATGTCTCTCTGAGGCAAATGATAAATTTTGTTTTAAGAGATGCAGTTACATTAATTTTGCTTATAAGACCTAGACACTGTAAATCCCTCATCCACATTTGTATCCTTCAGTGCCTGGTGAAGTATCTGGTGAAGCACCAGGGCACCCACCCTGCCAGAATTTTGGTTTGCAACAGCCCCTGGTGCTTTGTGTATTCACACAGCCCCATTCAGCCTCTGTGCAAGCCTGCTCCGTGGCCGGGGCTAGCAATGTGCATTCCTAACCCTGGCTGAACTGCAGCTGATGAAAGACCTATGCCAGGGGATGTAGAAATTTTTTCTGATTCTCCTCCTCTGCCTCCATGAAATGAGACTGAAAGTAGTTTTACAGGAGCAGGACTCCCCAGGGTGCTCCTCAGTCCTGGCTCCAGGGAGTTTTGTGTGGGCTCGGAAATGCAGTTAAAGAACCTGCTTCAAGTTACTCGGATATTGTGTGACAGCTCAGTTGAAGAAAATGTGAGGAGTTGTCCACTGTGCTATTCTTGAGTTAAGTATAATTGGGAATTTCCTGTGGTGCTGGTGCAGTGGCATTCGGCTTCCCATTCTAATAGCACTCCGTACCCTGAGTGACTGGCGGGGAATGGTCAAAATAGGGCGTTTAGCACCGTTTGTGAAATGATAAACATAAACACAGGGGTGTGTTTATATTTGGGATTTCTGACCTGCTGCTGCACGGTGGGTTTGGTTGTAGAATATGCTTCCCTTGCAGCAGTTTTTGTTTGCTTAGTTCCTGTAAGGCAAAATGCTTGTAAAGTATTGTACAGTCATTCGGAATTACTCTCTCAGAATATGTAAAGTTGGGTCACTTTGTACTTCCCACTTGAGCTTGTAAAACTTTTTTCTTTGGTGTTGTTTCTGGAAATGGGTATTACTTTAATCATATTTGCTGCACGCAACATTTTTCTTATTCATAGGTGGAAACTCTTCTCTTTAAGACTTTTTTTCTCCAACCAGCCGAACAAATGCTGCTGCAATTTCATGGCTGTTTTCTGTAGCACTGGCAATGTTTTTCCATGAGGATTTCTGCGCTGTGACTTCCAGCAGTCTGTGGCTGGCTGTGCCTTTACCATTTTCTGCTTCCAAACACATTCAAGAAACTGTTTCTAATTGCCAGCGTCTCTTGTTCATTTAGAGCAGGGCTGTTTCAAGAGAACTTGCAAAGAGCGTACACTAGAAATGTCTGTGGTGAATTGCACATGGGGAAACACTGCTGAAATTTCTTTCAAAACATTATGGAACTTTTAATTTCTAAACACATAATTTAGTCCTCTAATCAGTCACTCAAGTACTAATCTGTCCTCTTTAATATCTGGGGTTTTTAATTACTTTTCAGTGTCCAGGATCAATTTGTGTAGTGTCCTTGTTTTACAAATAAATTAATATTTTTGGAAATATGTTTGCAAATTCTTATTCAGGCCTGTTTTTCATCTTGTTGGATGTTTTTGTAATTACTTGTTGAGACATGCTGCAGGGTTTGTTCTGAACGGGGCTTTGCAGGATGATTTATTGCACAGCCCGTGGACCACTGCTCACCCTGGTGACCTGCGTGGGGGTGCAGTGGTTCTTGTCTGGAAATCTGGATGATGCAGCTTTTAACTGAGCATTTTCATGTTCTTTACTAACAGAATCAGTCACGGGGGAGAAGTGATCTCTACCACTGGAGGAAATGGCTGGTTGTGAATGCAGATAGTCAAAACCTCCCCTTGGAAAATGCTCTTTTAACTGAAAATATTTATGCAGAAATGCATCTGTTCCAGCAGATTTTCAATGAAAAAAATGGAAACATTTCCCATCTGATACGGCTTATTTTGACTTTCCAGATTAATTATAAGAATGAAGTACTTTCACATTATGGAATGAAATGTGATTATTTATTTCATTAAGAAATTTCCCAAACTTCCCATGAAAGGAAGGATTTTGACTAACTTGTATTTTGTGATAAATAATTCGTTATTTAAGGATATGACCTGTTCATTCTGTCATGATTATGTGGTTTTGCTGTGATCAGCCAGGTTTTGCCAGACTTGAAGGACTTGACTCGAAGCGGAATTCTTGTCTTTTGATGTTATGGATTCAAATTGTTCTCAAAGAATATTTGTGAGGATAACCTGCATTTAGTTTGAACAGAGTTCAGGTGTTTCATGAGGTGCTGAGAAAGCTTATACTGCCAGATCTGCACTCTGGATGCAGCCTGGACTTTCATTGTATCTGAAAGGAAAAACCACAGATATCTAGGTGCTGACATTGACAGTGCAGTGGCTGGCATCCCGCTCTGGCTTGACAGCAGTCCAGCTCCTGAAATGTCACCTCTGGGGGATGTTAAGGAATACATAGTTCATGAAGCCTGAGCTGTCATTTGTCACCTTAATGATAGGGTTTATGTCAAAACGTTTACATTGATAATGGACTGTAGGAAAGCACTGGTGTCGCATATACTTTGGGGAGAAGTAAGGACTTTTTTCACCCTTTTTTTGATATGCCTCTGCCTGAATTTCCAGTGTGGGTAATTGTATTGAATTCTGCTTGAAGTTTTTGTTCTTAAAGGCTTCTTTTATACATTTTCTGATCAGAACAAAGAATTACACAGTAATTAAGAGGAAATTAAAAGCTGCTTAATCTGTATTAGAGACAATAAATGAACCGTAGGTAAAAACCTCTTATTGTAGCTGTTTTTAACAATATTTTCACAGTAAGTATCTTTCTTCAGTTGTGAAACAGTTAATCTCTATTTCTTAAAACCAAAGGTACTGCTCACATTCTTGCTAAATTAGTCCCCTGAATGTGAAGAATTGATTTGTGGTGCTACACCAGTAATGCTCTCTTTTCCCTTTTAGAAATACGCAACAGAAGAATGTTTCTTCTTTGAACGTTTGGAATCCAATAACTATAACACTTACCGGTCACGGAAATACTCGGATTGGTATGTGGCACTGAAAAGAACTGGACAGTACAAACCTGGACCAAAAACTGGACCTGGACAGAAAGCTATCCTTTTCCTTCCCATGTCTGCTAAAAGCTGACTTCCATAGCAGATTCTGAGCACCAATGCCACACAGCACTAAAGATGTCGTTTTTCCTACTCCTCTCCAAAGTAGCCAAATATAAGCAATTATTTGCTGATATAACTACTTTTGCAGATACCAGATTAGACCATGAATGTTTCATACTGTCTTTATATTGCTCTTTAAACCTATTGTGCCAGTGTGTGTGGAGGTAAAATGACTTGCAGAATATATTTTCAGGATCAGTAACACTTCTGTTTTCTTCTAAGTATCTATGTATTTTATTTACCTTGTGCTTGCTTTATGGAGTAGAGAAGAACAAACCTGATGCACACTCATAGCAATAATTACCTTTAAAAATAATTTATATCTTAGCTTATTAGAGAATAATTATGTTCTAATAATTACCTAAAAAGAAGTCCACAGATAACTATAATATGCAACACTGCAATAGTTCTAAATTATTACTATAAGGAAATGTGAAATGTATTGCTATCATGTCATGTTTCTGTAGGACTCGGGCAGCTCCCTGTGGTAGAGCTTGTAGAACAGGCCTGTGTAGACAGCTGGGAACTCCCTCATGGTTATGTCAATCCTATCAAACCCTTCCCGGTACCCGAACAGTAAGAGCTTGGCCACGTTGCTGGTGATGGGCGTGGCGTTTGCCGTCCTGGCCAGCTCCTCCAGGTCCATCCACTCGCACCGGAGGCACTCGTGCTGGCAGAAGCTGATGTGGAAGGAGGAGGGCTCCATGCGGCAGATGATGTACATGTCTGACTTCCCAAAGGCTCCAGGGTGCTTGTGTTGCTGCCTGATGCTTAGGACGGACTTGAACTCTGACTTGATGCCAGTCTCTTCAAAAACCTCTCGAACTGCTGTGTCTCCTGGGTAGAAAGAGCAATCCTTGCAATACATCTGAGAGCAACTTAGCACTCCTTAAACCTTTTGGGCACTCCTTAAACCTTTTGGAAAGGTGGAAAGCCTCTTACTCAGCACGTTCTCTATTCTGCTTCATAAGAATGTAGGTCTGTTTTTCCAACACAAGGATAAGCTAATTTTTTGATTCCCAAACAACAGTAATTGCTGTGTGCCTTTCCTGTGTGTATCCTACAGAATTACTTTGGTAATGCTGCGCAGGGTGTGGTTTGTAATAGACACTGATGGCTGCTGGCTCCACTGATCCGTTAATCCAAGACAGCACTGCACTGTCTTTGCAGTCCTTTGGATCGCCATTGCTCTCCTCGCCCCTGCCCAGTCTCGGGTTCAGACCCTGTGCAGCTGCACCCGTAGTGATTGATGTCAGATCTCCGGATCTGATCAGTTTCACTGCACTTCACCCCCAGGGGTAACAAAATGGGTAAAACTCTTTTCAGAAAGTGAAAGTTGGTGCCAGGTCCTTTTCAAGATGTACCGTAAGAGTCAGGTGACATTTCAAATATGCCACAGCACCAGTGCAGCACAGAGCCTGCCCTTGCAAGAAACATGCTGCAAACATGCTGCATTTGTGCTGCATGTGTGCATTCTGTGTGCCCCAGCCAGAGCGAGATCAGTGCTAACATTCCTCACCACAAACGCAGCAGGGTCTACAGGGTCTGTGTGCTCCAATTACAGCCAGAGAACCACCCATCCATCCAGAAACTCCTCCAGAGAGATTTTTCTCTTCAGTAACAAACTGAAGAGCCCCTAAGAAGTTTTTTAATATTCCACTTTTTTTAATATTTCCCCAAAGTCTGCAGTTTCCTTGTAGTCAAATCCTACTTGCCCGGGGGTAAGTACTGGTAGGTTAAATACTGGCTTTTCCCAAATTAATGTAACCTCCTGGTCGTCTCTGGTTTGAGTGGTCAATGTACAGAACTGCTGTGCAATGTTACCTGCTCCTGTTACTTCATTTTCAGTAAGGAATGTATGCTGGCTTGCTTCCAAAAGCAAATGCATTTCAAAAGACTCGTTGAGATTCATCATCCTGTGGAAACTTGCATCTTGCCAAGTCAGAGGGGAACAAAGCAGATGTTTCAGGGGTAGTTTCAGGTATGGGAAATAGTAACTCCTGTAGCAGGTGGTTTTGTTAGTGCACAAGGGGCTACAGAAGCGAACTGAGATCGTGAGGGATGCTGAGGCAGGCTGTGGTTAAGAAAATTGCAGTAATGATGGATTTCATTTAAGCTTTGAGCTTCGCTTTTTAGATGAAGTGCCATTTCTGTTTCCCTTTTATTTAAATGTGAGTGTGTGTATATATATAAATATCTAATGACAATTAAACTAGAAGTAACACTAGGGCTGGAGTTTCAGAAATACTGAGATACAAAAATGTGTGCACTTTGCTTCATCTGCATTATGAAACTATTGGTGTCACTTGCATGAGTCAGTTTGCACTCATTTAAGTAGGCAGCCAAGCATGTTGTTGCTTCATGTAACCAAAGGATTTTAAACAATTTTTAATTGTAATTTAAAGTTTAGTCCCTTGAGTGACTTGTGTTTTTAAGGTTTGATGTAAGAATGAAAAAGGAAAATTAGGCTCTATTATATTTTATGCTTGACTAATTTATATCTTCTTGTAATATAAGATGTGATGCAGAGAATCGTAACTTTTATTATTCTGTAGTTTAGAAGTGGCAGGAGGGAAGCTGTAAGACACTTTTCTCCTGTGTGACACTTTTCAGTCCAGGCTCCAATCACCTGTTAAGTGAGGGATGGCTGCTGTTGTACTCAGTAGCAGTATCACTCTGGGGAGTCCCACTGGAATGCCAGTGCTGGTCATTTGTTGTTCCCTTGAGTACAAAAATCCTGCTGCTGCTGGCACTAGAAGTGAGAAGGAGCCTGGCTAGACAACAGCCATGGCATTTGGGTTTCTTTTGAAAACATGGATCCATTTCACCTTTTTACATTACATTGTCCAGCAAATATTTTGGATTTCCATCACCAGGTTTGACAAAAAGACTTAAAACATGACTCATGAGTTACGAATACTAAACTCAGACATATCCTGACAACCAGCAACTTTCTCCATGTATAGAAACAATAAGTAGAATACACCCCTACCACACAGTGTTGTAGGGAGTCTGCTAAAACAGTAGGTATTTCTAAGGTATGGAACAGTCAGGAAGCCTGGGCTCGATACCCAGCCTAAGAAGTAATGAGCCTATGGATTATGATTTTAAGGGCTGAGATACAAGGAGAAAAAACCCAGATTTTCTCTCTCTTCATAAACACCCTTGTTCATTCACCTGTGAAGATAAACTGCAGCAGTGTTCATCAGCTGTGCTGTGTTGGAGAGAAATGAGAAGGTTCCTCAAACCAGCATTGTTTCCTACCACAGGAGTGCTTCGTGCCTCTGCTGGGAGTAGGTGCCCACAAGACTGAGGCTCTGCACTTCACCCTGGCCCTGTGCCGAGGAGATCTTGGTCCAAACTAATCAAGTGAAGGGGGTGGAAGGAAGCAAGTGCATGTATTGGAATGGAAATTTTTGCTCAGTCCATCCCTGAGGTCGCTGCCCTGGATTGCAGTGTGAGCTGAGAGCTCCCTGTTTCAGTTTTATTTGGGCTATATATGGATTACCTTAATCCTCTGCACTTCTGGCTCATATTGCAGCATATCTGACCAGCCTACAAAACCTTAGCTGGCCTCAAGCACTCACTTAAAAGAAAGTGTGGAAGAGAGTAAATGCTACAAACAAAGAACTTCTTTGTCCTGAACATGCTACCCTGTTACCATTCGGGTCCCAGGATTGTGTCATTTCATCTGTTCACCATAAATTCGAGGAAACAATCCACCACAGGAGCAATGTGGGTCATGCTGTATTTCAGTGGTGTTCATGTCTCTGTAGTTCAGTTGATGGCTGACCTGTTGTCATAGGACTTACCAATGTCTTCTCCTGGATTAGACAGACCTCCTGGAAATTTCCATGCGTTTATAGTCTGTATTGGAGGAAAAGTCCATTAATGAAGTAGTCAGCCTGTGCTGCACTCTTTAATACAAAGGAGACAATTAACACATAACTTTTTTTTTTTGTTGAAGTTGCAGTATTGTTATTTTACAAATATCAGTAAGTAGGAACTGTTTTGTTCCTGCTGACAGGATGATTAAAGACAGCTCCAGTCTGTAAGAACTATGGGAACAAAACACCTACTGATTGAAAATACAAACTGTCTAACAGTCATTAGACAATGTTGCTGCTAGATAGAGTAGTTGAATATTTTTTAAAAGCTGCTATAGACTATATAATCTTATATTTAATCACTAATGTATTCCACTTCTATTGTTTTGGCTTTTAAAAAATGTATATATATTTAATCTTACAAACAGGTATTATGATTGTACTGTTCTGTACTGCACTGGCTTTAAGATGTCTCTGTGTGTCTGTAATGATCATTTAGTGTAACTTGTCATTTCCATGGAATACAAGAAATGAGGGCTTGTGTGTGATTTATGTATAGAAACATTTATTGACTTGCAATAAAGTTCAGTATTAAAATGTGAAGTGCAGGCTTGGTGTTGTTACTCACACTGCTAGAAGAGTCCCAGTCCCTGCACCTCTGGCAGGAGCACAAAGATTTGTAGGCTTTACCTTTACTTCTATGTACTTTCTACTTCTCTCCTTGTTAAAAGTTTAGGTAGGAAGAAGTTACCCTTCTCCTAGAAATAAATGCAGTAAAAAGGCACACTGGCCCAAAAAAAGCTTTTTTTGTCTATGCAGCATAGCAGGGAAGCTGTGTGCTTTCCAGTGATTTGAAACCCTAATGACTACATTGGAAAATTATTTTTTTCCCTGGGCATTCTTAAAGGGCTTGGATAGGAATTTAAAATAATAGATTAAAAATAGTGCAGATGGAAAATACATATATTTGTCTATTGGCTTTCAGATTTACTTTTAGTTCCTGGAAATCTTTGTGTGCTGTGGAATTGTCCTGTCACAATTAACAGCTCTTAAAATTCCAACAGCTGTTAAATTTTATTTTTACTCTGATATCTGTTCAAGACATTTACTAAAAGGTAAGCATGCACATTTATATTTTTGTGTATAAAAGGGTAAGTGAATGTT